ATCGTAAAAGCTGAAAATTTAAAATAATAATTTCAATTTCAACATATTTCCTAATAAAAAATCAAATTGATCAACCCGGAACCATTCGGAATTTCCGGATCCGGAAAAAACCTATTTCGTATTTATTTTCCTTGCCAACCTCATGTTTTTTTCGTGCGAAAACTTTCGGTTTTTGAAAATCGACCAAAAAGGCCACTCTAGTACACATACATGCATTAATACACAGTACAACAAATTTAGAGCTTTTTTTGCAAGAGACAAATATAATGATTACGTATATTTCTTAAAGGAGACATCGTACAGACCATTTTTGCTCAAAAAACTTATAGTCCAGCAAGTCTTCAACTCTTCCATAAAACTCTTTTGGATTGGTAGTGCAAATAACAAAAAACTTAAGCGTGCTGGACTATCCAAACTTATGATCTGAGCGATGTCCCCTTTCAAAAAAATACCTTGGGTCTTGCAAAACGGCTGTTGTGCAGTGTTATTTACAGTTACCATTTACGCATACATATATGTATGTAGATATTTACATTAGTTTGATCACGTCAAGTGAGTCCCGATTTCCCAGTTGAATTTTATGGTCAAGTAGAAAATAGGGCATACTGGAGGCCCTATTTCCGTAAATATGCTTATTTAGAACCACGAGCCTTTGACAAACTGCAATTACTGAGGGGATCGATGACCATGACAAAAGTACCACAAAATATATAAATGTAAACATATCTCTTTTTTCAGAAATTATCGCTTAAAAAAAGGAAGAGCTTAATATCAAAAGGAGATACGTGGAACAGCTGGAAACTAAAAAGAGCCAAGCACAAATGTTTGGCGAAAGTGTTGGATTAGACCTTGAAAACTTGCCAGGCCCCTTATTTAGAAAAATAAAAATGCGCATCATGTCAGTTATTGACGAAGAACTAAGCGAATGAAAACCTAAATTAATAATATTTCATAATATGGGCAGAATTTACAATAATTTTTCACATTCTAAAAACTTTTCATCATAATTTCAAACACTTTAATCAGACTTACAGAGTTTGAATTCTGATGAAAAGGTTTTAGAATCTGAAAAATTATTGTAAATTCTGTGCAAAGTTTGAAAGCTTAATTTATATGATACGATTGTATTTATGTGTAACCAAAATTTTGTGGATTTTGAACTACAGTACTTAGAGAAAAATGTAAATATATGTCTTCTTTCACAGTCTTAACAATAAAATACTATATTAAATAGAAACAAGTAATTTTTAGCAAAAAAAAACCGACTTCAACTCTCATATAAAAAAAAAAATATATATATATATCTCATGATCCGCTGATCGGATCTTAACCAGATTAGTATGGGACCACCTCTGAGACACTCCCTTTCCGATGCAAAAAGAATTATCGAAATCGGTTGACGTGGTCCAAACTTATGCGGTAACATACATAAAAAAAAAAAAAAAAAAATATTCCGACGAACTGATAACCTCCTCCTTTTTTTGAAGTCGGTTAAAAAGAGAATATGTCAGCACTTAAATTTATAAAATTCGTTGTTTTTATTAAAATTACCGAAAATGTAAAAACAATCTTACGTCAATAAATGCTCGACCTTAACAAAAATACGCGGCTGTTCATTTTAGCTACTATTAGTATTATTTAGCTCTTTTTAGCTCTTTTTTCGACCGTTTTAGCTCCAAATGAAATGTTTCTCTGGCAACACTGTTCCTGAATGTAGTGGCGCCTTAATTTATATATTATAAATGTTCACTTGAAGATCAATAACATATTTGTTTGAACATCATATCTTCGCGCACCTTTATTCGAATATGCTTTCCGTCAAGTGCACCAATACAGTTAGGAAACTGTTACTTGGCTTCGAACTGTTGTGCTCCGCCTAAAAATGTTTTCATAGAAATATGTGGAAAAACTTTTTCGACAGTTTCGACAATTATTTCGCAAACTAGTGATGGTGAACACTTGAGACGTACCCGTTGCTAAATATCTAAAAACAAAAGCTTAAATATAAGAGAGCCCACTTTGCTACTTGAGTACCTACTTACCTGAGGGTAATAATTAAGCGTAGTTCTGTAGGAATCGGTTCGCGGATAAAATGGTGTTTTTTAATTAAAGAGCCACCGACTTTCGATAACTCTTTAAACTCAGAGCAACCCATACGGCTAGCCGTGGATAACACAGTGCGGCGCCGCGCCATTTCGCTGATACCGAGAGCTGAGTTACTGGCGTCGATACCGATTTTCACAACTCAGTGATGCAATGGCGCCAGCAACACTGACAACATCGGGCGGCGCAAAGAACCAGCAAAGAACACACAAAAGCGAAGTGTCACTTGTAAAATGTCCAGCACAAGGCGAATTTTTACAAGGTGGTGTTGCTAAAATTAGCCGCGGTCCTTCTGAATGTGAAAATTATGTGTTTGTTGTATTTTTGGATTTTGAACTTGGGTATACTTGAGTTATTTTCGCCCAACCGATAGCACCTTGTATTAATTCACCTTCGTTCAACACCGGAACACTGACAACACCGGGTGTCGCTAAGAACCAGCAAAGAACACCCGAAATAGAAGTGTCTCTTGTAAAATGTGCAGCACAAGGCGAAGTAATACAAGGTGGCGTTGCTTGAATTCGTCGCGGTCCTTCTGAATGTGAAAATGATGCGTTTGTTGAATTTTTGGGTTTTGAACATGGGTATACTTGAGTTTTTTCTCAACGGATATCACCTTGTATTAATTCACTTTGGTGCAGCGTGCGTGAAGAGGCGCAATTGCGCCAACACACTGTGCTGATTCCGACAGTGGCGCTGGAGTTAGTGTGTCAGCACCAAAAAATTTGCGCCGTTACCCAGGCCTACATACGGCAATATTATTGGAAAAGTACTGGATTCTTCAATTTTTAGTTGTTGAAATTGAACCACGAAACCTCCGCTTATATTCCGTTCTTCGTAATACTTTCATACCCAACAGGAACGTTTCCTTAAGGTTTTTTGTATACAAGATCTAAGATATCATCACCCTCAAAGCCCATTATGTCCATATAAAAAATATGGAAAATTTTGTGCATTAAAGAAAATTTGTATACCCGAGCGCACTTGTGCACAGGGTTTATAACTTTGTTCGCATTAACGGTTGTTTGTAACAGCCTAAAGGAATCGAGATAGATATAGATAAATGTATACATCAGTGATCGGATTGAAAAGAGAAATCGATTTAGCCATGTCTGTCTATCCGTCCGTCGGTCTGTCCGTGTACACGATAACTCGAGCAAAAATTTAGATATCTCAACGAAATTTAATGTGTAGGTTGCCCTTTATCCAAGGTAGGTTGCTATTGAAAATGAGAGAAATCGGAATGTAACCACGCCCCTTTCTCATATAACGGTATTTTCGAAAAATGCAAAAACTTTGATATTTCAGTAAGTATTTGATCCAAATTTTTCAAAATCAGTATGTGAAGTAGAATTTTGGTGAAAACTATTATTATGAAATTTTTGGAAAAGTGGCGGAACCCCGCTCACTTATGATGAAATACTGTATCTTAGCAGCCGCTTCACCAATCCTTACCAAACTCGGTAAGAGCCTTGCCTAGACTCCAACTAAGAAGCTCGTTGAAAATCTTTGAAATGGGGCAATATCCACGCCCCCCTCCCATATAACGGTATTTTACAGAAACACGAAAACTGCGGTAAATCAGTAACTACTGAAGCTAATTGACTCAATTATTACAATGACCACTGAGCACAAAATTTTACTATTATAAATTTTTGGATTTTGGGCGTGGCTCCGCCCACTTATGACCAAAAATGTGTATCTCGGTAACCGATTCATCAATTTCTACCAAACTCGGTGCATTTAATAACCTTGGTACGAAAAAGCAATTTGGTGAAAATTATTTAAATCAGACTGAAATTGCACCGGCGTCCCGTATGACGGTAATTTTCGGATATACGAAAACTCCCATATTTCAATAACTGAGGACGTTCATTTACTCCAAGTTAATACTTGCATAAGACTGTTATAGACATCTAGGTAGTTAAAGAAAGTTGGAACGACGAACCTGCGCCGGGTATATAAAATTCGGTTTCGCCCGAACTTATACTTCTTTACTTGTTGTATTTTGTTTTGTTTACAAAAATATTGCTATTGATATAAAAAATTTCTACGTCAAAGTTATAGGAAATAAGTATATCGTTTTCACTCTTTTCTATATAGAGTTGGTGGCTCTCTTATGGAAAAATTTATACTGCATATGAACTGATTCATACCATGTAAATCCTGCATAAACGTCTCCATAAGGTTTGGTGTAATAAGCTTCCTCTGACCACTGTTAATTTTTTTAAAATCAAATTGTCTCTTTCGTAAAAAGTTGTAATTAAATTTCTCTTATTGAAATACGTTGTACTTATTTATAAGAACTGAATATTAAAGAACTGATTTTTTCCTCCGAAATCCACTGTGCGGCGTGGCAAACTTACTTATACATACATATGTATACATATATGTATGTACGTGAACTCGTTGGGGAGAGCATTCTGTCACCGACAGCAGTTGTTTTTGTTCTTTCTCAGTTTAACGCAGCCCATTTAATTCTATCGCTAGCTTAACAAGCACTTTTACATCCATTTGAAAACTACATAGGTACATACATAAAAGTAGAAATAACTTTGAACATTTTCTTAAATGTACTCATTCAAATTTTTATAAATCGTAACAAAATTCGCAACTTTGCCATATACATGGAAAACAATCAACCACGAACCGCCTGCATTTGCACCCCGTTTATACAACGTAAACAAACCCCTAACTTATTCGAAATAAAAAAATTCGTATCATTCTCTTAGCTCTCTTTACAGATGAGTGACGTTAGTGCCTCCCTCATTTGCGCCACTAAATATATACATACATATATGTAAACAGTTCCAAAATGAAATACTCTCTCAGGTTTGCAGGGAGGCATTGAGTCGGGCTGTCGCAGGCAAAGCAAAAACAGATCCACAACTACGAGCTATAACATGGTGAGCGTGTCCAAATAGTTCATTCGTTCCTGTCGCAGCTGCTGAATGTGCAAGCTGGGCTAGGCTGGTGCTGGTGCTTCTGCCGGTTGTGTTCGGTCTCGTTAGTGGCCAACGCGAATGCAGGCGTGCGAAAAAAAAATTGCCGAGTGAGTGCATGTTAACGGTGTACGCTTTTTTTTGTTCCATCCGTCTATGCAATGCAGGGCCAATGCGGTTCATAACGAAATAATTCGTACGTAGGTGACTTAGTAAGACCGAGTGATTATTTTGCCGTTTTCTTTATGATGTACATACATATGTACATATGTGTATTCTATATACAATTCATGCTATTTTTGTGTTTGAAAGATCCACTAAAGTGGACTCAAGTGCGTAAATATAGATTAATTCTGTAGCTCGTGAAAAATAACGAACACATAAAGTATACACACACTTATGTACATGAAAGAGGAATGTAGCAGAAGTGTTAAAAGTGTAAAAAATGTAAGGCTACTTAGAGTGGAACAAATTATTTTACATTGCATCTAGTCATGCTGAATATCGAATTGTTGTAAAATGCAAACAAGCAAAATCTGAGCTACAAAAGTGTAAACAATTTTGGCAAACCTATAATGGCTGCAACGTTTAAAGTTAAACCGATGAGGAAATGCTGAGGGAATGAACGACAAATTTTGCTTAGTAATCATTGCTTTCGAAATTTTTTTGAATAAAAAAGGTTGGTGTATATGTACATACGTATTAAAAAAGGTAGTTTAAGTCTTTTATGGTATTTGTGCAAGAATATAGTCTCGATATAGTTAACAAAAAATTGCTAAAAATTCAAGGGTGCATTGACACATTCACAGAAGGCAACACATCGTGTGCAAAAACAACTACAACAGTGTACGCTCTTTTATTAAACGCTCTCCTTACCACATGTTTTGAAAGTTCTGCTTTCTATTTTCTTTATTTCGTTAGCATACTCTCAATATTTTAAGTGAATTGTCAACCACTCAAATGTCAAAGATTTGTTGTGCTATTTTTGTTGAGTCCAATCAGTACGCTATTCGTTTTGTTTCTGTGCCAATTGGAAATGACAAGTCCTTCTTCACCAAGCATCGAGTTGGATACTTAAAGGGCTGGAGCGGAGCCGCTATTCTTTAATGAAATGTCGGTCTCCCAAGCGCAGAGGCCCTTAAACCTACTGCAGAATCTTCCTCACGAACACGCTAAGGGTCGCATCAGCGTATATTGTCATTGTCCATGCTTTTGCGCCGTATACATTAGGGTGTCCCAAAAAGAAAAAATTTTTTTGCTCACGCGTTTTTTGATAGATTTTAGGGTAAGGAAATTTTGAATTTTGTTTAAAAATGTTTTGGAAGTGGTTTAGAGGTCGCACAAATTGGTTTTTTTGTCAAAAAACGTGGTTCCCTGCCATATTTTAAAAATAATTTAAGATTTTGTCATAAAATAATTTTTTTTTAGATCTTAAGTTAACTGTTCATAAGAAAAACGTCCAATCTTTCATTTTATGTTCAAAAACCGCCAGGTTTGTCAGCGACTTTTTCCATATGGCAGATTAAACTAAAATTTTTTAGATTTTTTTCAAAAACATTGACTTTAACGATGTATAACTTTTAAAATTTCTATTAAAGTTACAAAAACTAATGATGCAGTTTAAAAGATAAATAAATTCTAAACAATTTTCATAAAAAAAATGTTTAATTAGTCGTTACTAACCCAGAGTTATCTACATTTGTCGAATTCAATCCATTGAACCGAACATGATTTCAACTGTTTTTTTTATTATTTCTTTTGAGTTTCATTCACAATGCGAGCCTAAGCCTCATTCACAATGCGAGCTACAATTTAGGTTTTATTTTATCACTTTCTTGCTCTTTCTCTTCTTTGTTTCTCATCTTTTTCTTTGTTATCTTTCAATCAACTGTTAAATAGAAAAATCGATCATCTGTTATTTCTACATTCGTTGGTACAAAAAACTGAAATAAACTTTCTGTGCTACAAAAATTAAAAAAATTTCAAACAATCGTGTCTTTTTCAAGAAATAAATAGTAAAACTGAAGTGTTATTGATCAGGAATATCGGTGCTATAGTGCAGTGAAAATATTTATGAATTTAAAGTCGAATTATGGCTATGTTAAAAACAAGAAATGTGTGGCTTGTGGGTAAAATTATTGATGCATTTGACTTGGCAAAACCGCTAACAAAAATTGAAGTAATGCGAAGATTTTTTTATTTGCATATGTTCAACAAATATACTATAACAGAAAGTGCTGAAATTGTAGCAAAAAATATTAAAGCATTGTGGAAAACAAATCAAGAGATCCGAAACATGTCTCGAAAAATCACAAAATTGCACTCGAAGTGGGTATGTCTTAAAAAAGCCAAATTTAGAAATAACAGCAGCCAGATTAAAAAAAGAAAGAATTTTCTGGACGACTTGAATTGTTTGTTCGAGAAAACACCTCCCGTAAAGTCTATGAGGCCAAAAAGAGATAAATTTAAGAACGTGCCAACTGAAAACATTTCCAGCGATGAAAGCGACGATTGTGCCGTTTCAGTTGAAGAAGAAGAACAAAATGTCCAAATTGACCCTCCCATTTCTCAAAAACTACATCAGATTTGCGGAAGTCTTGACAGAAGCGGAATAACTTGCCGTAAAGCTTCACTTATATTAAATTCCTGCTTAGACCCTGAACAATGTAGCACAAAAGTTGCGTGCTCAAGGTCTTCGATATGGAGGGAACGAAAGAAACAGCGACAGGTTATAGCAAATTCAAATAAAAATTCTTTTGTTGGTTCAAATTTCATAACAGTGCATTGGGATGGAAAAGTTATGCCCGACTTAAAGAACAAAAAGAAAAAAGTTCACCGGCTGTCAATAAATGTCAGCGGAAATTCAGAAAGCAAGATTCTTGGAGTTGTAAAACTTCTATCGGAGAGGGGAGAAGATCAGGCAAATGCTGTTTTTGAAATGCTAAAATCATGGAATTTAACGGAAAATATTCAATTTATGTGTGCAGATACAACAAGCTCCATAACTGGCCGCCGAAATGGGGCATGCGTTTTACTTTGCCAAAAATTAAAAAAAGAACTAACATATTTAGCATGTCGGCATCATATGTTGGAACTTGTGGCTGGAGCAGCGTTCAAGGCACTTAATATTGAAGAACACGTAACATCACCAGAACCAAAAATATTCGTCACTCTTCAGCAAAGGTGGGACTACATTGACAAAGTACATTTTTCTTCCTGTATGGACCACCAAATTTGTAAAAAAATTATACCGGAAGTAGTTCGCGAAGACCTAATACTTTTCATCAAAGACCAACTCAAAAATATACAACCCAGAGAAGACTACAAAGAATTGCTTCAATTAAGCCTTATTTGTTTAGGTGATAAATCTGAGCCTCAGCCAACAATAAAAGCTCCAGGAGCGATCAATCGAGCTCGCTGGATGGTGCAGCTTATTTACTCTTTAAAAATATGCATTTTTCAAGACCAGTTGCAGTCGTTTATAGACGATTCAAAAATTAATGCGTTGCTACAATTCAATTCTTTTATTTTAAGGGTTTATATAAAAAATTGGTATCTCTGTCAGTGCCCTAGGTATGCTCCCCTCAACGATCTTAATCTCTTAAAGCAATTGGATGACTACAAACGCTTTAATGACAGTGTTGCAAGCGCCGCATTAAAAACGTTTTTGCGGCATCAGTGGTACTTATCGGAGAAATTGGCTGCCTTAGCATTTTTTGACAAACGTATAGACAGCAATACATTACGTTTAATGGTAAAAAATCTACTTCGTCCAACTATAGACAAGGAATCAGTAAAGGCCAATTTGAAAGAAGAATTGCTTAAAAATGCAGAAATTTACACATTTATTTCTGAAGCTAGCCTTAACTTTTTTAAAGCCTGCGATATTTCGACAGCATTTTTACAACTAGATCCAGAAAAATGGGAAACCAACGAACACTTTCTCCATGGAAGAAACAAAATTCAACAATTGTATGTGGTAAACGACGTCGCCGAACGTGGTGTGGCCTTGGCAAGCAGTTACGCAAATTTGACAACTTCTGAAACAGATTTTCAAAATTTATTGCAGGGCATAGAGCAGCATCGAAAGAGCCGAAATAAATAACTTTTAAACAACTAAAGTATTGTGTTTTCTGTTTTTCTTGGTTATGATTTGTTGTGAGCCTAAAGGTTAGTATTATATTTTCATGCAATGGATTGAATTCGACAAATGTAGATAACTCTGGGTTAGTAACGACTAATTAAACATTTTTTTTATGAAAATTGTTTAGAATTTATTTATCTTTTAAAATGCATCATTAGTATTTGTAACTTTAATAGAAATTTTAAAAGTTATACATCGTTAAAGTCAATGTTTTTGAAAAAAATCTAAAAAATTTTAGTTTAATCTGCCATATGGAAAAAGTCGCTGACAAACCTGGCGGTTTTTGAACATAAAATGAAAGATTGGACGTTTTTCTTATGAACAGTTAACTTAAGATCTAAAAAAAAATTATTTTATGACAAAATCTTAAATTATTTTTAAAATATGGCAGGGNTCATAAAATGAATGATTGGACGTTTTTCTTATGAACTGTTAACTTCAGATCTAAAAAAAAATTATTTAATGACAAAATCTTAAATTATTTTTAAAATATGGAAGGGAACCACTTTTTTGACAAAAAACCAATTTGTGCGACCAAAAAATTTTTAAACAAAATTCAAAATTTCCTTACCCTAAAATCTATCAAAAAACGTGTGAGCACCAATGAAAATCGAAATTTTTGTTTTTTTTGGGACACCCTAGTATACATAGCAACACGGGCATAATGAGTGACTGACGGAGTGTGGTTTATGTAAGAGCCAATTTACACGACGACTTTTCACCCTGCGTTTTTGGCACGTTCCCTTTTAAAAAAGTCTTCGAAAATCCTCGTGCATTTACACGATGACTTTTTCTTTGCGGCGTTTGTTGCGTATTTTTGACATTTAAGCGTAAAATTTTCTTTAGTCAACTCTTTCGTCCTCATTTTTAAAGCGGAGCGAATCACGAACTCAAAGCAAAAATACGAAAAAGTGAAGTCGATAAAAGCGAAACGTCAAAACCCCCCCGATTTCGCTCACCGTGCGTGCTTGCCTACCCTGCTGACTTCGCTACACTTCTTGCCTACAAGCTCGACACGCATGATTTTCCACCCAGGGTGAAAAGTCATCGTGTAAATTGGTTCTAAGATGAGCGAAGACTTTACTGCTCAATTGCCTATTTAGTCCATAGTAGCACACGTTGGTAAACGTGATTCTCCGTCCTCTTCTTTTTTTGAAACTATGACTTTCAAGAAGGACGTAAGTGCCAATACGCGAATGGGCTGACTGTTTGCTTGATGACAGGAGATTCTTCGTCTTGTCCTAATTCACGACCTGACCCATTCTCTTTGCTTCCATATTCATCGAGGGAAAGGCAGAACAGAAGTTGCGGTTGTTGAGACAGATGATTTCGATTTAATCGGCATACGCCAGTTATTGTTCGTTCTTCCAGAAAATTGTTCTTGAGCGATTTAGTTCCCAGCTCTCAATATCTTATCTCAGACCTCATTTGGTAGCGAACGGCTCGAAAAGGCGTTATTAAACGTAATTTTAACAGTCAGGTAATGGTTTCGCGGGGATACTAAATTGCATGTGCAACTAGTTTTCGTGTTAACG